AGGAACCCACTGATGACGTCAGAGCCCTCATGACGCAGTCAATCACGTCTGAAAGCCCCCAACAGTGGGGACCAAGCCTTCCATAATAGTCTTTGAGGAATATTATAGATCCAAGAAAAGGGACAGAGAAGGAGGAACTGGGGGCCCGGTGTCTCCTTCAAGGACACGACCCTGTGACGTCACTTCCTGCTCTTAGGCTCCGCCTCCTAAAGGCTGTGTAGACTCCCCACAGCCTCTCCCGCGATCCCGCCTGTAACCCGCACGTTGTACGTGTTTCTGACGTCACCCTCTAGACCAAGGAAACCTCCTTCGTCCTGCTGCATCCGGGAACCTTCACCGTCCGGATCCGCGCGAAGTCGGATGAGCAGATCCGCTACACCGCCTGGAGCGCTCGGCAGTCGTTTGGTGAGGGGGAGGATCTACCCATCATGCTCAGGGCCGGGGCGTCGTGACGTCGGAACCGGAAGTCTACTCAGCATGCGTTGTGTTGGGGCCTCTTGAGGCCCTAGAAGAAAATCTACCCATAATGCATTGCCGCTGGTCATGGGGACATCATAGAGTGATGACATCATCCTCCACCCTATGACGTTAGCTACGGGGTTCACAGCCCCTCAAAGGAGCAGGTTCTGCCCGGTTCCGCCCAGTCTGTCCCAGGAGGCCCTCGGGGTCTTCAGAGTAACAAGCGTTACACACGAGGTCCGGGGTCAGGACACAGGGACTTTCAGCATGGCGTGCGGCCGCCCTCGGGGTACTCTGCACCCAACACTCCAGCCCCTGGGGGACTCTACACCCAGCACCCCAGCCCCTAGGGGACCCTGCACCCTCCGGCCAGACCCCAGACTCACCGCCTCCTCCTCCCTCAGTGTGCGACGACTCTGCGGACACCCAGGTGCTGACTGTGGCGCTGCTGGTGTCCCTGGGGATGGTGCTCATGGCCTTGGTGACCCTATTGCTGTTGTGCAGAAGGTACTGACCGAGCCCTGGGCTGAACCTGGTGTTCAGCCTGATGGACCCGGAGTTGTCAGCTCTGACTCGGGGCCTCATCCTCAGGTCAACCCCAGGGGCTTGGTACTTGTGCTCAGTACTCGTGTAGTTGCTGGGAGGAAATGCCTGACCAAACCCACCATCAGGGTCTAACTTGGGGCAGTGGTGACGTCACGTGCTGGCCCTCCAGGTCCTCCCTGTGGCAGTCGCTGTGCCCCCCCATCCCCAAGGTGAAAGGGCTGCTGACACAAGGTGATCCCGAGGTGAGTGATGGCCTGAGCTGTCCGGTGCTGAGCCTTGGGTGACCGTGGGAGGCCGAGAGTCTCCTCTTGGGGTGATTGCACTTCTCAGTCTCACTTCTCTCCCTGGGCCCTTTTTCAGGGCTGAGTAGTATTCCACCGAGTGCCTTGGTCGTTTTCTCTACTCGAGTGGGGTGTTTGTTCTCGTTTCCCTCCTTCTTCAGGGCTGAATAATACTCCAGTGAATGACTCTATCATAGATATCTGTCCATTATGCATTGATGGAGCCTTGGGGCGTTTCTGCTACCAGCTGGGGTGCTTGTTCAAGGTTGCTCGGTTCCCCCTCTCGGCTGTATCCGCAGTGTGAATCGTTCCCGTCCTTAGGTCACATGGGTGGAGGCAAATCTTCCAGAAAGTCTGCAGGAGCCTGAGGAATTCCTCCGGGTGGAAGAAGCTGCAGGGCGTCCACCAGCAACATGATGTCAGTGGGCCAAGGTGCTTGTTGCTAAGCCTGAGGAGCTGAGTTCCATCCCCCGGAGCTGTCTGGAGGAGAAAACCGAGTCCCACGGTGTCCCCAGGCCTCGTCGTCCTCTTCCGTCCTCCTCCTCTTCCTCCCCCTCCCCTCCTCCACCTCCACGGGCTCCTCTTCCTGCTTCCCATCACACACCGCGTTCCCGGTGCGCCTTTCCCACTCAGTCCCCCTCATTCCCCACTTCCTCTTCCCTGTCACACGCTCCTGGACTCCCATGGGATGGACACGCAAACACACGCAATTCACGCTCATAACGGTAGTGCGTATGCAAATTTATGTAAATCCGTATAGATTTATGCAAATCTCCCCCTCACCCGCTGGGCATGTGCAAATATATGCAAACATTCACGTTTACACCGGAGTCGACTCTGCTGACGTCATGTTGACGTCATACTCACGGCTTCGTCCCTCAGTATGGCAGGGCAGTTGTGGGGTGCAACTCAAAACAGCACCATCCTACCAGAGGTACTTCTGACTGGGTGGCAGGGTGCTTTTCTGGGAATAACGCAGGTTCGAGTCCCTCCTATCACTGTCTAGGCCCGGGTTGCACCCGGCCCCAAAAGCCAAGGAGAAAAAAGAA